ATATTGTTACTTACGTATTAGAGGGTAATAAAAAAGCGTACTATACAACAGATAAATTAAAATTCAAATAGAGAAAAACATAATGAATACCGATTTAACTCTAATTTTAAAAAAACTTAAAGCCAATCAGTGACAAGTTGCCTGAATGACTATAAATAAAATAAATAAATTTTTATGTTTTTTTTCTTGTTAAAATAAATAAATGCATTTGAGCAATATATACATAAATAAATTACAAATTAATTATTATTTATACCAAATGCAATGATTTTGGCAGCAACCTTTATCATGTACTAAAAATTATATTCTTTATTGCGAAATAAAATTAGAATACATCCAAGAAATAATTTTTTATTCCATATGTAAATTTAATAAATATTTGAAACATTTTATCGAAGTTAAATTTAGAAAATTTGAATAGTTTTAACATTGGTAATTTAGAAATAAAATCAAATATTTTTAGAGAAACTCTTCATTTCCTTTATTTACGCATCTTGAATTCTAAAGGAAAGTTCTAAAAAATTAAAACTTGGAACTAGAAGAAAGGACTAATTAGGATCTTGTAATTTAATTACTTTTGTGATCTTAATTAACAAAATTACAAATTCCAGATTTCTTTCTCTGCGTGAACTTTAATAAGAACGCAAAAACTACCCGTTGTTACTCATTCAGTGTATACGACGAACGCGAATAAAAAAAAAAGTGAAATATCACTTTACGGAAAACTGAAATAAAAGTTTGCGTCGTGAATTTTAATCTTAACTAACGACGGACTTGTTGGTTTTAAAAGTCATAATTCACGTCAAAAAAAGAAGTAAATTTTTTCAACTCGACGCTCTTTTTAATTTAACCTAACTTTTTAGGCTTTTTAAAATTTTAACTGGGATTTAAGAGATAAATACTAACAGCTTGAAAAAAAATTAAGTGTAAAATTCTTAAAAATACAAAGAAAAAAAGAGTTTATAGGAAAAATGATGCACTTAAAATAAAGTTATGTTTAAAATGTGACATTTAGAGATAATATCGCGAGTGTAAAATGATCAGACTCCATTTCTTTACATTAATTTAGTCAAAGTATTCATTTCAGTATCAGGCTATTGAATAAAAATTCATATTAAATAAGTCAAAATATTAGTTTGTATTAATTTCTTAAGAATAAATTCGCAGCAACTTAATCAAAGTATTATAATATTAGATCAAGAAACAGCTTATAAATATTTCGTTTACCGATTTTTTTTTTTTTTTTTTTTTTAAATGAGTACAGCACTTTTTAAACACTCAATGACGCATTTTGAGAAATAAGGTTAAAGAATTTAAGAAACGTATTACTCAATAGTAAGATATTATAAGGATGATAAACTAAGCTAAACTCAGCGGCGCGACAGCTCATAGAGGGCCAAGACCTACTGTGCCCATCTCAGTTTTCTTGACCTTGGGCTCTGGGGTGCAGGAACAGATGTTTCGGTCAGGTGGTCAGCTGAACGCGGAACCCCCAGTGTTTAGTTCCCAAGCATGCTTGGTACTCATTTATCGACCCACTGAAGAGATGAAAGGCTGAGTCAACCTTGCCCGGCCCGAGGATCGAACCAAGGACCTGTGGCACGACAGCGCGAAACGCTACCGCTCAGCCACCGGAAATCATAAGCATGATGCTCAATGAAATAAATAAAGAAATAAAATTTTAAAAAAAAGTTTGCTTATAGTGATTTTTAAAATTTGGTTTGACGTGGGTTATTTCTTGAACATTTAAATAACTAATTGCTTTAATATAGTTATTAAATTTATATGATTGTTAATTAAATGTTGGACAAAGCATTCCACAGATTCTACTTAGTCTTTGAATTTATAGTAAGACAGAGGAATATCTTTTGAATTAGTTGAGGCAAGATAATGACATAGACATTCGCAGTTTTCAAATTATACAGGCTCCTCATTTCCATTGTAGAAAAGTACCAAAATTTGTAAATTTGTAATAGTATGATGCTTTGAGCTACACTGTCATTTTGTGAAATTTCTGTAAACTCTTAAAGAAATGTATTCATAAAGAACGGAAAACATTAGTAGAATCTAACTGAAAACTAACTGAACATCTCACTGAATACATTAGTAGAACAGCAAAATCTGAAAATTAGAGCAAATCTAGGTTTCGATCGAATTGGAAAATACAAACAAGAAATAAAGCTTTAAAATAAGTAAATGCGATATATTTCAGGCTCTAATTTGTTTGAACTGTTTACACGGAGATAGAAATTATGATAAAGTTGCATTTCTGACTAAAAAAACTAAAATACATAACACATTTAGAATTATTAATTTAGAAATTATTTATTCATATGTCTTTTGTTTACTGAAAATTCTAGCTTTAATAATTATCGTTCCTTTTACAAAACATTTAGTAAGGCATGCAAATCTAAAAAGTTAAATTATCCTAAAAATTGGTTTTAATACCGTACCTTTAGGTATCATGATTAAATTACAAAATTTTACCACTGTTACAAAATTTTATCACAAATCATGAAGACGCATTTTATTTATAATTTTATTAAAATCATCTTCGAAGTGTTTTGGGTAGAAATTACTGAGCTTTTAGGTGTCCCCATAGAGCGAAAAACACTGTATTTTTTTAGTTTTGACCTCCTATAACAGGGCAAAAAGGTTTTTCCGTGAACATGACTTAAAAACAAAAAAGCGTATTAATATTTTATTTTTTCTGTGCTTGTTTTTCGTTCTACTGTTATATAAGCACATAATGCCCGTCTATGTATGATTCAATTATATTTTAGACAATATAAAGAGCAACGCATTCTTTATGAGGAAGTATCGTTATCGCTGTAATTATTATACCACTGGAACACACAATGGCTGGAATACACAATTTCGAAACAATGCCAAATTATTTGCTCAGCTTTTATGATTTGACTATAAAACCATTTTATTTAGCTCATAAATTCTAAATCGATTTGCATAAGCTTCAACTTTTTGCTTCAAAATGAGTAATTTTAAGTTTTTTATATTCGTTTATACTATTTTTGCAATTGCCTCAGTTCCAACTTTCGGATTTGGAATGGCACCACCCATGCCAAGTCCAAGAGGAACGGACCATTTATATCCTTGCTCTATGCATGTTGCATGTGGAGATCCTGGTATGATTTAATGACTTCATATTTTGAAATAATAATTATAAATACATTAATAAGTAATTATTCAGATGTATTGTTTATCAATTAAAATAGCTGAAATCTGGAGATGTACTGGACTATTTAACTCATTATTGCTTAAATATTTTATAAAATGATTAGTGCCCCATTGGCTCCGTGGTGTATACAATTTCTGCAAATGACTTGAATCACTTTTAAACTTTGATAAAAATTTACTTGCTTTGTTTCTGTTTGCATGTTTTTAACGTCAAACATAATTTTTTGATTTTTATAATGCTTCAAATTCATAAGACCATGATAATTCCCAATATGTTAATGTTGCATACGAGAATAATGGTATTGCAAACTGATATCATATAAAAAATAATTATAAACTTAAATTGTTTTGTAGAAGTAGTTTTGAAAATTAGAGTCTGAGCGCATAGGGTGAACAATAGAGAATAAGCAAATACAAGATTCTATTGTACTCCTTTTACATTGATTCTTTACAGGCCAGAGACCATTTTTTCAAAACCTGAAATGTGTGAAAGCAAAAAATAAAAATTCACTTTTTTCCTGGAAAAACCACCGATTTTTCTGCGACAGATAAGTGACCATTGGGTGGCATTTAACAGGCAATTTTTTAATACGCAGTTCTTAAAGTTAGATCTTTCTTAATTTTTATCTTTAAAATTTCAAAAGTCCGTAGTAGAGTAGTTTCTTTTATTTGAAGTAAATCTGATTCCTCTGTTTTGCTAATGCATTCTGTCACGTTCAAAAGATCAAAACCATCCATATAAGCGCATTATTTACTTATCTTTGAAAAAATTTAGTATAGTTCACGGATTATTCTTTATAGTTTACGGATTAGTGGCTTCCTTTTTGCAAAAAAATAAGTGGCCAACAAGAGGCAAAAAGCGAAAAAAAATTTTATTGCCACCTTTTAAATTAATATTTTATTTAATGTTTGCTTTCATATTTCAAAAATGCGATATGGATCAGTTTCTTTACCTTTAAATAAGTCATTTGATTGATCGTTTTTGCCAATGTATTCTTTAAAATTTAAAGGGTAAAAGCCATTCATATTAGCGCATTATCTTAGTATCCTTCCGAAATTCATAGTATAATTTACGGATTATTCCTTTCTATTAAATAAGCCAATTATATGGAAACATAAATTAAGCATTTAAACTTTAAAATATGAACAGTATTAAAGTTGTAAACGTAACAAAAATTAATTTTATTTTACTATATGGTGCATTACTATACTATGTGTTATTTCAAATTTTAAAATTCCATTCAGACCCAATTCTTTCATTAGAAATTAACATTTTTATGCATTTCCTATCCACCTACATTCCTACCAGATTCCAATATAAGAAAATATTTAGTGTCAGCAAGAACTTGTATCACAAAGTTCAACAATTTTGTAAATGATTTGCAAATGCACCATGCAATTTTGAGACAATGTTAAAAGTTAATCTTCAATCCCAAACCAAGAGTGGAAACAGTTCCAAAATCAAGGATAAATTCATATTCTCAAGTTTTATTTTAGATTATATAACCATCACTGAAAAAAGGTTTATTTGCGCAGGATTTTATATATTTTTCTTAGGCACTTCAAGAGTGAAAATTGGCCTTATCATTGCGTTTTCAACAATAACTAAATGTCGCAATTGAGAATCTGGATAAAGCTAGAATAAAACAAAGCTAAAACAAGCATTATAGTCCTGTAAATGAAAGGTTAAAAATGAGATAGTTTTCGTAAGGGGTTTTGCTTGCCTTTACTTAATATTTAAGAAACCAAGCTTTGATTGTTTAAATAGATTTATTATTTGATTCAATTTAAAATAACATTAAAAATATTCACTAAGAACTATTGTAGTGAAAAATGTATAATAAAACGAATAGTTTTAAAATTAATAGACTTTAGACAACAGCAGATTTTTTTAATATTATTGCCTAAGAAAATGAGATTTAAATGATTTTTTTCCAGATCCAAAGGACAAAAAAGAATTTGAGGACATGTTTGCTCGAATTGAACACGAGGTAATATCATCAATAAATTGAACTATTGGATGCAAGTGAACTGAATTATTTTTTATATCGCATTTATAGAACATTATTTAATCAGAACATATACATATTTTAAGAAATTACACCCAATCACACCATCTTCACATTTATGGAACTTTCATCAATCGCATTTAAAGAACATTTATTTTTACTATCTTGTATTCAACAAATAACATATGCTAACTTTGTAACAAGGAAAATCAAAAATATTAGGGAAGAGCACCCTTTTTTGCGCTTTTTGTTTGTGTAATATAATTGTTGTGAGTTTCATATCAATTACATTATCTTTAGATCAAACGTTCTATTTCCATGTTTTTATTCTTGCTCTTATAAATATTGATTCACCTGATTTTGATATTGCTGTCGTTACTTTCGAGTTTAAATTGTAACTTTCAAAAATTAGTATACATTCCTTTCATACCTCTTATTATAAGCAAAATAAGAATTGAGGTAATAATTTGAGATAATAAATTTACGGAAGTCGCCTGTAAACCAACACGCTATAGGTCCTCTTTGATTTTATTTAATTTGATGTCAAAATGTTGAAATAATTGGATATATTTACATTTTAAAAAAACTGATACTCAAATCTCGTGAAACTCGATTAGTTTATGACGAAAATATTTTCTAGAATATGCTACGAGCGAAAATTTTACCAAAAATGACGAAAAAACTATAGCCACTTTTTCGACGATACGGATTTCGCATGAAGTAAAGAATTTATTCGTCATTATTTAATTTTTCAAACAAAAAGTATCATGATGAACTTGTAGTGCCTCATAGCAACTAACGGAAGACGAAATTATCCACTTTTTCGTGGGCACCATGTAAGATAATCAACGTCACCCCAACAAACAAACAAAAAAACAGAAAAAAAACCGCACCCATGCTCGAAACGTGAATCGAACCGTGAATCTTCCTGGTGCGAGGCCAACTTCTTAACCACAATATCACCCGGTCAGCTAACATGGTCATTCAAGTTTTTGGTCATATATTTGAGAGTTTGCATTTCTTTACAAATCACGTGACTTCGTGATGAAATGGTCCTGAAAATTAACGAATTTGTGCTCAATGATTACAGAATTGTCAAAAATGAGAGAAACTATGACTTACTATTTGTGACTGTGACAGTGTTCTCCTTACTCTGTTGCTACTCAATCTCTATCACATACAACTGGGCCCGTATACATTCAACTGCTAATAGCACCACAGGAGGGACCCCACATGCTAACATTATCGTAATACATATATCACGACCAGCACTCAAAAGTTTGATGATCTTAATACGGCTCTCCCGGTTTCTCGCACAACAATGAATCAATTAGTATTATCCATTCATTAAATTCTATGACAGATAAAATTCTAAAGGAGGACTAATGTAGCATAGCAACCACTCCAACCACTCAATTATCATTCGCTAGTATATAAGACATGTTAACTAGACTCAAGCTTGATGTACCTTTTAATAAATGGTGGTCGGTACCCTACTTTCGTAATTGGTGATTAGCCTTGCGTGATTTCAACTCGCTTATTTAAACTAAAACGTTCACTTCAATTTGAGCACACTTAGTTCTGTGGGTGGTCCACTGTAAACACTTGACTTACTATTTGAGACTATGATATTGTCTCCATACGCTGTTGCTATTCACTCTCTATCACATACAACTGGACCTGTATCCATTCAACTGCTAATAGCAACACAGGAGTGACCACACATGCCAACATTATCTGGATACATATATCACGACCAGCACTCAAAAGTTCGATGATCTTAATGCAGCTCTCCCGGTCTCTCGCACAACAATGAATCAATTAGTGGTATTCATTCATCGAATTCTAAAACAGATAAAATTCTAAAGGAGGACTAATGTAACGTAGCCACCTCTACAACTCCTCAATTGCCATTCACTAGCATATAAGACATGTTAATTCGATTCTATCCTGAGGTACCTATTGATAGATGGCTGTTAACATTGTCAGTAGCCTACACAAGCTGTTTTTAAGTAAATGAGTCAAGGTGAAATATTTATTCAATAAACTTCCAGAAGACTCAAAATTATTTTTATATGTCATGTAAAGCACGGATCTCTTTTAATCTAAATTTATGACTTTGATTACAGGATTTTTTGATCGTAGCAGGGGATTTAAAAGAATCAAACGATCTTTATTCTTACAAATCTTATGAAGAAATGAATCCAATGATAGCGGAAACATGTGAAATAGCAGATGGAGACTTACGGGTAGGTTTAGTTGATTTACGTTTAATTTCTTTGGCAGAAATAATGCTTTTATTGTTTATTATTATAAATAAACAGTTTCGCCAATTAAATGGCACCACTTATGGGATTCAAGAAAATTCAGGGTTTTGTAAACAGCAAATGAATTCATTTCATATAAGTACGAGTTGATTATAAAATAGATTACAATTTATTTCCAAATCATATGCTTATATTCATTAGTTTTGAAAACGGGACTGGTTTTGTCGTTAAGACAAAAGCTATCAATGCTTTAAGCAAATTTTAATTAAACGTTAGTTAAAACAGTCAATCTTCATCAATATGGTATAGAATTTAAATCATTGAAGACAGTCTCTTTTATTCAAACTCTACCTATCTAAGAGCTAAATTTAGAAATAAATTAAAAAGAAAACTCATCTGGGAATGAAATGTCTGAAGTGAAACAAATTGATATTGACTACGAAGTAAACTTCATCAATTTTAAAAACGAGACTGGATGTGGAGTCAAGAAAAAAACTATCAGTGATCAAACTATCTATTTCTATTCGTATGGTAGAAAATCTACATCCTGAAAGACAGTCTCTTTAATCTGAACTCTACCTATCTGAAAACTAAAAATTAAAATTCGATTTTTTTTTTTAAAAAAAAAGCTTCAAGGAGTGAAATATTTTATATTTAGAGTTTCTTGAGAAATTGCAGAATGAAATAGATTTGCCAAGATCGGCTTTCTTAGATATATATTATCCGGGCCAAAATATCCGAACATCAAATGCTACGAACTTAGAGAGCCATATGGCATGCCTTAGTAAATTAGTCCTATTTTTATATAGTCCTATTTTTTCTTAGTCCTATTTTTATATCCCATCGATGACTGCCTACACAAGTCCAGAGAAACGTTCCATGATTTTTTCAATAGGTGGCCTTAAGAACTGACTTGCCAAGGTTCATCACAGCCAAAAGGTGTGCTGGCAGTGAGGATTTCCAATTTGACTCTGTATGCAATCTTTGTTCCAATTCATTCTAAAGGTTTGTATAAGATAATGATCAAGGCTCTTAGTAGGCTAGCTCAGGTTTAAACCACTAAACCATGGAATATACTAAACAGTCCTTTCATGAACAGCGTTATTTAATCTCACAGCCTACGATAACGATTCGAAATGTAATTTACAACCCTTTTTGTGCTCAATATCTTCTGCATTTGTGCATGCAATTTGTGCATTCTTAATGAGAGAATGATAGAGATATCAAGGGTTGGAGAGAGTATGAACCCATCTTTGCCAGGTTACAAAAATTACAAAACAATCATCAAGCAACTCTTGTTTTTCAATTTCAAACTTCTCTCCAATGGGAGTGGACTCTTCTAGACAAAGAAAGCTAAGGAATGCTATGTATTCCTTACACCATTATTCATTTGAAGTAAAATTCTTCTACCCCCATACATTGTTTTTAAGGTAAATGGAAAAAATAACTTTAATTAAAGACGTACTGAAGAAATGCTATTTTAAGTGAGTTATATTATAGGAAATTCGAATTATATTTTTCGATTTCTGGCTTCTGAAATCAAAAATAACGTTTGAAATATTTTAAATTATTAAAAAAAAAATTTCAAACTAACTCTCTTTAAATCCAAACCTCTTTTATTTATAAGCTAAAAGAAATAATGAGATCAATATACAATAGCTCAGTTATGAGATCAAATTTGCATTTTGCATTGTACAAATATATTAATATATCTTGAACAATGTTTTAATATTTTCCTGCTAAAGATAATATTTTTTTGCAGTTTTTATTGCAGTTCATAAAGATATTATTTTTATTGCAGAAAAAAGTTTTTTTTGTCCTTTTATGAATATTTTTCATTTTGTTATTTGTTTAAAAAATACTTACAGCAATGTTAAGATGAGCGATACCACGTTTGAATGCTTTACTGTAAAAGCTTTCTGAACATTTTCACTCACCCTCTCTATGTCATCTTAATATATTCAGAAAATATGATAAAGAAAATCTGAATGCGCCACTGAATTCTGCCTAGATAAATTAATCGCAATTACTATTTATTTTACATATTAGAAATTATTATAAAAAGTTAAGTAATTAATTACTTACTTAACTCTTAAAAAATAAACTTTTAATTAAAAAAGTTAAGTAATCAAAGAATATGTTAAGTAATATAATATGAGGTAAACTTATAGATTTTTCAATATCTGCTGTTATTCCTCAACATAAACATTCGAAACTATACAGAAATTAAAGTACAGTAAGAGCAAGTTCAAAGCTCTTTTAAATTTTATAAAATATGAACAAAAAATATTGAAGCTAAGAGTAACTATTTTCTCTTACTTTCTTTACTTCTTATATAAAAATAATGGTATAAAAAGAATGGAAATTATTGGAAGCAACTTATTTTTTTTAAGAAATAAAAATGAAATATTATTATTAATATTATTTTCTTAAAAGAGGTTCCGCTATGATTTTTTATTCACTATTTCTAGCCATATTCAAAATTAACAACAATCGTGTAACAATAAATTATTTGTCTGTGTATAGTGTATTTAGCAATTTTGTATTTAATTCAAAACATATCACGCGAATTGAAAATTACAGAACAGTTTAATTGTCTTGGCTCTAGAGAACGACTTCAGAACTAATCTAAGATTTTCTAATTAACAAATAATTAAGAGAACATTAAATGTACTTTTGTGCAGATGAAATTAAGTTACAACATTTGAAGGGTTCCTTCTCTGAATAATGATACATTTCCTTTTAAACAAGAAATGATTTTTTCCATCACAAAATAATAAAGGTACTCACACTCTAGAAATTACGTTTCCAATAGTTTCATGCCTTGATTTCCTGAACATAAAATTCTTTTTTTGTACATTTCATCATATCCACGGAATAACTTAAGTAATTTTTATTATTTAATTTAATAATGGTCGAGAAATTTGAGAATCATTTTGTGCTCAGATTTGATAAAAACTATGGCAATGTTAAACAACAATATTTGAAATTGTCATCAAATTTCATCAAAAATCATGAGAAATAAAAATTTGGAAAATTTGACTTTTGCAAAATTTCATTATTCGCATATATTTTGTCATTTTTGTTTAAATTTCGTATTTTGCCCTTTAAAAATACTTATAATGAATTTGTATACAAAGTAAACTAAATAAAAAATCTTAGCAACTTTATTAATTTATTCAATAAAAGCAGAATATTAACCTAAATAGTTAATATTTATCTAAAAACTGTTAATGGATAAAATAGCTTTATAGTCTATAATAATAAAATGTATAATTTGTCTGTGCGTTTGCCTCTGTTATAGATTCCAAACAGTTTTGGCCAGTGTCTTGAAAATTAAACAGGATAAAAACAGCAATTTTAGTTCGCAAGTCTAAAATCATTCAAAAATTTCCATAAGGTCCTTCTTGTGAGATGCTTGAAAATCAAATATTCTGATTGGCTTAGAACTCGTCTTCGATATATAATAAACTGTAGAAGATTCTATTTTTTGTCTTTGTCTTTTAGATATGTTAATGATAAAATCAGATGATATTTGCTAGCTTACAGCCCTCGTAAATAAATGAAGAAGTCTTGCACCTTCTTTAATATTTAATTGTTTTTTAATATTTATGTCATATAAGCACAATGATTAACGACATCGTGTTAACAATTAACGTTTCTAAAGTTATATGAAACAACGTGTTTATTTGATAGATAAACTATTAATAACGTGCTTTGTTTAATCTAATAATGCAAAGCCACTGTGAGGGACAAAATTTGATATTAAATTTAAAAAAATGAAATTTGCATTACGAATTGTGTAGGTATATAATTTTCTGGCTTGTGCATGTTTTCTTTATGTTGCAAAATATTTGTTGGCAGTGCAGACTTATTGATGTTTTTTTTCACCCTGACGAAGAAAACGTATTCAGTTAGTTATGCATAAAATGGTTATTGATTTAATAAAATACTTTCAGAGATATAACGTTGGCAAAAAATAAATACTTAAGATTTCAAAATTTCATCAATTTTCCTGGCAAAGCAAGTGTGATGTATTATTTTCTAGATTGCAGCTATTTCCTCTCCCTCCTAAGCGAATTTAAGTTAAAGCTTCCCCCCCCCCCAAAAAAAAAATACTACTTTATTCAAGGAAATCGCACTTTCGGGTCAGATATCATAACTTAAATACCATTTGCATAAATTAAAAAGCATGTTTAATTTTAGACATTTGATCAAAAAGATTGTTAAAAAAACTAATCACTTGTTCAAAAGTTATTAAGGATTCCTGAATTTTAATATTTGTGCATTTTAATTTTTGCTATTCCTTTTTTTTTAGTACTGTTTTAATCTGAAAAAAAAACTGTTGGCAAACGATATATTATATTATATTTACTGTATATGTTGATGACTCGTTAGTGATTTTCTTTAATTTTACAGGAAACTTTGTTTAACTTGATTGTGCAAATATATCTAGAAAACTATTCTGTAAGTTTATTATTTTTTTCTCTATAAGATGTAATGCAAGTGTGCTATTTAATTCTAAAACTATGGTATCCATTTACTAAAAAAGCATTTAAGTAAGTTTATACAAGGTTAACTTCAAACTCAATAATTAAAAAGTCTATGTTTGAATTTTGATAAATCTTTTTCCTCTGAAGGATAATCAGTAAATGCAATATAATAAATCTAATCTAATAAATGCAAGATACGAGGGTTGCTATTTATATTTCTGGCCTAATAATGAAAAAACAAATATGTAGGATCCGAATATTTTTTATCGATCTATCG